TCTTTCTTTATCCAATTGACTCCGAGCACTCTCAAATCTTCATCGTGAGGTTCGGCACAACTTTTAAGTATTTACATTTTAGTCCTCGGACTTTGGATCCCTTACAATTTAGTCATTTCTCCAAATTTGTCAACTTTTGCTTATTTTCTTCGATCTCACCAACTTATATCACAACATCAAAATCACACATCTAATTATTAATCAATTACATAAACATAACATCATTAATTATTTAATTAACCAAAAAAGTTATATCTTTATTAATAACAACTTAATTCTTAAACAAAACTAATATAAACTACACAAACGTGCATTGCACATTTGCACGTTGCTTGCACCTAGTGTGTGTGTGTATATATATATATATATTAAAGTTCATTACGCTTTACTTACTATCACACTTATCTTAAATTTTTTCTTCATCGTATTTTTATTTTTAATATTTTATTGATCATGAAATTTTGTTCAAAAATATTTTTAACGTGCTTTAAAATGAGGATCAAATATTTAATCACATTTTATTGTATTATTCATTTTGCTTATTCAAAAATACAATGGATAAATGAGATTTTTACTCTATTTTAAAGAAAATTATGGAGAGAAACCATGATTACGAATAATTTTTATTAATTTGAGAATAAAAATGCGATGAAAAAAAATTTAAGACAAAAATATAATAATGTGTAGATGTTACGAATCTTCCGTGCAATTAAAATGTAATCTAATTATTAAAAATTATTATGTAAATATATTTAATCATATAAAAATAGTGGTTGAAAATAGCCACTCAAATTATCTTTTGAGTAATTAATTAAAAGTTACTTTTCATTTTTCAAAATGTGCCAAATATTCCAATATATTAGGAGAGAGAAAAGTGTTTAATCATTTCCAGAAATCTTAGTCCAATAGAATAAATTTAAAATCACATTTCTCTCTCGGTAGGTTTGGTCTTATCGGTCACAGCTTCACAATCTCTTCCCGTGCCCTTCAAATGGCTGCCGGCATAGCTCCTTTTTCTCTCTCCGGTACTAACTAACTACTATACTCTTTTATCTTTTTCTTTTTCATTTCGATGCAGAAAATTTGAACTGGATTACGGTATCTGATATGATGATTTCTCCGAGATTAAGTGATCATAATAATTGTGGTAGTTCAAAAATTTTGCATCCCCTTCAATTTCTGTTTTAAATTTAAGGGTTTGGTTGTTAGATGTGAAATTGAAATAATTCCAGAGTGGTTTATTGTGTGTTCATTTGGATTGAGCTTCTGAATTCATGTGTGTTACTGTTTACTGTTTACAATTTAGTGTTTTCTAAATTGTCTATGGTCCCATGTAGGTGGAAATCCTCTCAAGACTAGGGATATGTTGTCGGTCAGGTCAGGCACTTTTGTCAAGGCACCACCAGTGACTATTCAAACCAAGTCGAGTCGTTCTGGAATCAGGCGCAACTTGTCTGTACGCGCAGAGTACAGGTATGCAGTTGTCATTTAACATATCTAATATTTGTTTCAGTTCGTCTCGGGACGTGTCATGAGTTACATGTAGGTTGAAACTTGAAAGTAGTGTGGCTTTGCTTAGCTTAGCTTAACTGACAAAGAAACCATGCGTATTAATTTTCCTCCATAGCAACCTCCAAGATACTGTAAATAATGTGCATATGGCCACAATTATGCAAGCATAGAATGAATTTGTTGAATCGTGAATATGGTCCCAGTGCACCAAATATTGAAAATAGTAAAATGAATAAGTATGCTGTTCTCGCTAGTAAATTACTGAAAATATGTTGCTTATATGACGTCAGCATTTAGCATATAATTTATATTGTCATCAGCTTTGACTAAATTATCAGAATCACTGAACCCAAGATGATGAATGATGCATTCAATTGTAGTGTGAATTTCCCATTCTAACTGTTACATCCAATTATGGTGTTACTTTTGCAAAACTCAACATCATGTGGCCGTCTTATCCACTTTTAACAGGAGTACAGAACATTCACTTCTGCCATGTTAATTGTAGGCATTGAGACTGTATCCTTTCTCCTCGAGGACTCGATGTTCTCATGCAAAGTTACCACCTTCCTATCACATCTAAGGAGAAACATTATTGAAGCAAGCCTCTAATCTTCAATTTGATATATTTCTACTTCATAAAGAAATTACTCAAATATGTGTCTTAATTTTTTCATGTTCTATTGGTATTTTGCTTCTCTAAAGGGAAGCTCATATATTCCATCTTCTAATGATGAAGTTTTTTTTATAACTCTATATTCTAGCCAGTGTCTAAAATGACTCGATAGGGTACCAAGATGTAGGCTTCAAGACAAACCAATAAAATAATTTGAAAAATACAAAATACAAAAATATGCTCCTAAGAAACTATTGGCCATCTTGATAGACTATAATAAAACAAATTAACATGCTGTCAGCTTCTTCTCATTCTTTCTCATGATACCCACTTGCAATGGCGCCTTCCCCTTCCCTTTCCGTGTAAAGGCAGAAAAATGAAAACAAAAACTTTGTAAGCTATAAAACATAGTTCAAGAAGCTGAAGTCAGAAATAAAAAGCCTAGAAAAGTAAGACAAATGAGTGTACACTTCAACTGTCTTGCAGCTTAGCCTTGAGGCATAAACCTTGACAAATAGCACTCAAGCATAAGCTTCAAGACGTCTAAGGAAAGCCTCACGAGAGGCGGATCTCAATGCATAAGCTTCAGTCAACTTTTTGAAAACTCAAATTAGTTAAAACAATTCGTACTACTCTGAACTCTCATCCTTGCCCTTTCTTTGTTCAAAATTCAAAGTTGGGTTTGTAGGAGTCTTCAAGCATAATATGGTTTTATATGCCGACCAAGTTTGGCACTGATGCATACTTGTCATTCAGTTGACAGGTTAAAATTGCAATAGACCGGGTCAGTAGGAATTAGTTGGTTTCTGATGTATTTCTTAAACTATAGTTGGGCTTAGTATAGGCATCAATTGGAAATTGGTTTTTCAATATTATTTTGGCCAAAAGTGAAAGATAAGCAAGTTGTTCAACTTCTGCTATCTGGCTGGCATATCGAATGCTGTATGCCATGGGCTAGTATTACCTGTGAGTGATTCTTTTTGATAGAAACTCTTTTACCAGCTCTGTAGAACCATTGTAATGTTTGTGGAGGCTACACGATCTATGCAATTTCTAGAAAAGAATCTTGCTTATTCTTGCTTACGCCTCTGTGCTTGTGCTCACTGCTTTTAAATATGAGATCTCTCCTTGATCCGTGTTCTCTCTATTAGCTATTCCGTTGAATTATAGCATTATTAATGATGATGAAAAACAAGTTTTTAGAGAATAATTGTTTTGTAGTGAAGATTGAAACATCACGTTTTTTGTAAATATTTTATTTGGGTGAATGTGTTCAAAGTCAAATTTTCCTAGAGTAGGGTGAATGTGTTCAAAGTCAAATTTTCCTAGAGAAATGTAGTTTGCCTTGGGCATTGGCTTAGTGGCAGACACACTTTTTGGTGTGTGCCAGTGTTGTAGCCAGTTCTCCATGGCGATGTGATATCTGCCATAATTTTTTCCTCTTATATGCAGTGATCATAGTGGTGGAAGTGGTGATTTTGTAGCTGGATTTCTTATAGGAGGTGCAATCTTTGGAACACTTGCATATGTTTTTGCTCCACAGGTGAGCATAAATATTTACATAATTGCCAATCTCAGTGTCTCAATATTTACTTTTCTAGCTCCTTTAGAAATGATTCGCGATTGATCTAGTTGACTTGTGGAAAAAATGCTAGCTGAAGCTTGTTAATAAGCATCAAATAAAGTGATCACTAGGTTCTAGATAGGCTAATTGGATGGAAGCTGATTGGATAGAATGAGTGGAGCCTGATTTAGTTGTCAATAAGCATCAAATGAAGTTATCACTAGTTCCTAAGATGGTCTGATTGGATAAAATTAGTGAAGCCTAATTCAGTATGTCAATAAGCATCAAATGAAGTTATCACTAGTTCTTAAGATGGGCTGATTGGATAAAATGAGTGAAGCTTGATCTTCAGTAAGTGATGCAGCTTTGGAAGTCAAACACCACATACCATGAAACTGCCACTCATAGCAGCAGAATAAAATTACAAATGAGGAAGCAAGTCAAGTAGGGAAGTTTAGTTATATTTTCCTTATCCTTAATAGTAAAGTACGTGAAAGATAACTCCTCAAATGCCCCAACACAATCTGTAACCTGCCCTTCTTGATATTGCTCGGCATTGATATGGCTCGTTTATTCAAATTAAGTTTGAGCTTTGCAAAGTACTAGTGCTCAGCTCGAACAGTACGTTGACTTTGGATTGTTCCTTGAGCTGGTTGAACTTGGTTCCAGACCAGTTTAAATATTTTAAATTAAGCTAGTCAGAATCTTTATTTGAAATCCTATTCAGAAAATATTTGGACTACAGGATGCTTATATATATAACTTTGTAATGGATGAAAAAGATGAAAAATAACATTTAGTTTTGCGAAATCATTAAACCATGTTATGGATGCATCAATGTTCTACTATTTGATTTTCTGCTTTAAGTTTTTACCCTTCTCTCTCTCTCTTCTAAATATTATTAGATAAGAAGGTCACTGCTAAACGAAGATGAATATGGCTTTCGGAGGGCCAAGAGACCAATTTACTACGATGATGGCTTGGAGGTGATAACAATGACTTTAGTTTTCACACTTGCCTTTTGCCATAATGACAAGTTGAGTTAACTAGTCCCTTCCCATCCATCCCTTTCTTAATCCTCTCTGTTTTGTGAATTTCAGAAAACCAGGCAGACCTTGAATGAAAAAATAGGTCAACTCAATTCTGCCATTGACAATGTATCTTCCCGGTTGAGAGGTGGTAATAATATATCGGAGGAGCCAATTGAGACCGATGCAGAAGAAGCTACCGCATAATACCTTCTGTTTCATTCTCAATGGTCGCAAAGGCTTCAGTTTTCTAGTTTCACTAGGGGGTTTTTATGATACACGTATAAACAAAATGCTTGAACATGTAGTCTTTGCAGTTGTTGAACTGTTTTGAGACGTTTAATTACGAAGAATCTCCTCCACATTATAAATGATCAGTAAATTTCCCGTGTTATATAAATTTGAAGTTTTCTTGAAGAAGTTGGATAAAACCCAACAGTTTAAGACCATTCAGGAATGCTTAAAAATCATTGCAACTTGTGTTAATTGTAACGACTTGAACCTTCGTGTTCAAGCTATATTTAGGAGAGTTTATGTTCATCTTATTCTTTACAGAGGCTTGGGTCTTTACAAATTTTCTTCAAATCCTTGTGTGAATTATAAGATAACAATGAAAAACAACCAATAGGAAAATGATATTTCAAACGCTATATTTAAAACTGCTGTTAAAATTAAGGGAAAATTGCAGTGGATGTCTCAAATTTTTCATTTTGTTGCAGAATAAGCTATGATTTTTGACATGTTTTTTCGCGTACCTTTTATTTTAGAGAAAATTGGCATCTATGGCAAATGGGTAGTGAGCCCAGAAGTTAGTTGATATGGTACAATCGTGTCCTTTCGTTATTCTCTTTCTTGTAAATTCAAGGCGAATGTATGTAGCTTTGTTTTATTGAAGGGCTTTTTGCACGATTCATCCTCAACGTTTTGAGCAAAGTAGCAACTTCGTCCTTAACCTGTCACAAACCCATTTTCATTCTTTCATCAATTAGCACAATTTATCCATCTTCACGATTTCCATCCAAAAAGTTGTTATGCTATTGTTAAAATGTGAAAAACATTGTTATAAAAAGCTCATATAGATGAGCAGATTGACTTTATTATCTGATCACGTTTTATGCTTTTTAAAATACTGTAAAAAGTCAACATTGCATACAATTTTTATATGTTACGTCATATTTTAATTGTATTTAAATCTTCAATCTTTGTTCATTGTAGCTATTATGTCCTCAACTTTCTTTTCTCGCATTCTTATATAACTGCCTATTTTACTTGTACATAAACGATATTATGATAGGATTATGCCGTAAATTTTTTCTTTAAAATATTTCTTTTAAGAAAATCCTCAAAACCAAGGAGTTAATTTAATCAATGACCACATAACTTTGCTATGATTACTATTTGCTCATTCATTTTTAATAAGTTACTTGTTGCTTGTTGAATCTTGCTATATATTGCTGCATGCTCACTGAAATTGAAAAGTTTACTCATTACTCACTTAAATTTGAACAAAGTTCAATTAGTAAAAAGTAACTTTTTAAATTTCGATAAGAAATGATAACTTATAATAAAGTTCAGGGATGAATGATTATATTAACTACAAGAAAATCCCAAAACGCAATCGTGGCGAATAGAGCTCCACTTTTTTCCCTTCATTCTCCCCACACGTTCTTCTGTTAAAAATATCGTCACTCCCTCGATTCTATTCCTAGATTCTCCATAGATTTTTCACCAATTTCTCTGTTAATTAATTGCTCACATGTAATTTTTTTCTTTACATCAAATGAATATTTCTTTGAATTTCATAATTCTCAGCTTATGGAAGGCGAAGATAAAAGAACCACCCATAAGGTGCTTCGTCCGATCCTGAATCTCTTTCGCATTGATTTCTTGAACCCCTTTTTCACTTTCCTTTTGTTATTTTTTAATATTCTGAGATTAGAGGGTTGTTTGTGTTTTTCAATGATTTCTTGGCAAAATATTTTTTGCCCCCTAATTTCCTGTGTATGACTGAAGATGATTTTTAGTGCACTATGTGGAATTGATCTGCCAGGGTTTTCGTTTTGTGACTAACAGCCTTAGAGAAGGTGGGGAGGTAAAAAAGTCGCTGTCTGAATAGTTTAATCTATAGCAATAAGGACCCAATTTTTCATCCAGTTTATCTTTGAAATTGTATTGAGTTCGTGCTATTCATCCTTTTTTGAAGATTGAGTTGTTATAACCATTTTGAGTTAGTAGAAAAAGAAAAATCTTTTGGATCTAGGAAGAGCTGAATAATAGTAGTATAAAAGAGGCACGAAATTTGAATTGCAGGGTTCAAATAATGGTTATTCGGACAGAGTTGGGATGTGGGGGTTGGGGGGTGTTCAATGGCGATATGTTTGTGTCTTGGAGGAAGTATGATGATTTATTAATTTCCTTTTACGAATGATATGAGAAAAAAAAAATCTTCTGCATAAAAGCAAGAGAATGTGGCGGTAAAGTCACTTTTTTTGGTCAAAGAAATTAATTGGATGAGAAGCAATTTTGCTTCTCCATTAAATATTAGAATATGTCAACAAAAACATGTTTACATGTTGAATTCAAATTGCCAACCAAGAGCCAAACCACTGCCTTTCTTCTCTATATATACATGCATATATACTTCAATTTATTATCCCCATTTTTAGGCTTAAAACCATAGAAAAAAAGAGAGTTTTAGAGAGAAAAAGTGAAGGTTTCTCCTAAATATTATCTTTCCTTTTATTAGAGAGAATGTATTTTTCTCTTATTATAAGAGAGGGTATTGTCAATTGTGCTCTCATTATTTAAAAGAGAAATTCTTGTAATCATTTTTCTATAGTGAAATCCGTCTACAATTTGCCCGTGGTTTGTCCACATAAAATTTTGTCCGTCATCATTATTTTTCATTTCTACTTCAGTTATAATTGTGTGCCCCGTACCACTATGTCCTGACAGTAGTATCAGAGCGCTAGGTTTATAGCCCTTTTTTGTGCTACAGTCAGATCCAGTTAGTGGAAATGAGACATCTTCAATAATGACAACGAAGTATAAAATATAGAAGTTCAATGGGAATAATTTCTTATTGTGGAAAATGAGAATAAAAACAGTTTTGAGGAAAGATAATTGCTTGGCGGCAATTGAGATAGGCCCAAGGAGATCACTGACGATAGCAAGTGGAACGAGATGGATGGCAATGCAATTGCTAATCTGCATCTAGCACTAGCCGATAGAGTATTGTCAAGTGTGGTGGAGAAAAAGACAGCCAAAGAGATATGAGATACACTGACAAAGCTGTACAAGGCCAAATCATTACACAACAAATCTTCTTGAAGAGAAAGCTTTATACCCTTTGGATGATGGAGTCAACTACGGTGACCGACCACATCAACACCCTTAACACTCTATTTTCATAGCTCACATCAATGGGGCATAACATAGAGACAGGTGAACGTGCTGAAATTATACTTCAGAGTCTACCTAGTCGTATGATCAACTCATCATCAATATAACGAACAATATAGAAGTACTCGTCTTCAATGATATTGCAGNTGGAGCCTCAAGAAGAATGAAGAAGCCAAAGGAAAAGGTTCTGAGACGTCAAAAGCTCAGGGTTGTGTAGCAAGCACCTCAGATGATGGTGAAATTTTATACAGCGAGGCAACAACAGTTGCTGAAGGCAGAAAACAGTTTTCTGATGTCTGGCTTATGGACTCAGGAGCTACATGGCACATGACACCAAGAAGGGAATGGTTCCATCATTATGAACCTATCTCAGGAGGATCTGTGTTTATGGTGAATGATCATGCCTTGGAGATCGCTGGTATTGGTACAATCAAATTGAAGTAGCTTTTATATAGAGAGAGAAGAAAAGTGGTGGTTTGACTCTTGGTTGACGATTTGAATTCAACTTGTAAACATGTTTTTGTTGACCAATTCTAATACTTAATGGATAAGCAAAATTGTTTCTTATCCAATTAATTTCTTTGACCAACAAAAGTGGCTTTATTGCCACATATCTCCCATTTAAAGACACTTTTGTAATCCTTTTTACACTTGTCATCTCCATGCCGCTTACGTATCTACTAGGCCTAAGGAAGATTGATATCAGATAAACTTGTCATTATTAATCTGCTTTGTCAACATATCTGCTAGGTTGTCTTTTGTATGAATTTTTTGTATATCCACACTTCNTTGTCTTTTGTATGGATTTTTTGTATATCCACACTTCATTCTTCCACCTTTTCACGAACAAAGTGATATTGAATTTGTATGTGCTTTGTCTTCGAATGAAATGTTGGATTCTTTTGGTGTGGCTGCTGGGATGCGAGCCCAGGTCTCCACCAAATCTCTTGTAGTAAACATAAGGATCTGAACTATGTCTGTTGTATGTTGACGACATGTTGGTAGCACACCCCAACAAAGATCGTATTACAGACTTAAAGGCACAGTTGGCTAGGGAGTTTGAAATGAAGGTCTTGGTACCAGCAAACAAGATTCTAGGGATGCAAATTTACTAAGACAGGAATAATAGAAAGATTTAGCTTTTCAGAAGAACTACTTGATGAAAATCTTGCGACGCTTCAACATACAAGATTGTAAGCCAATTCCTACCCCTCTTCCTATTAATTTCAAATTATCCTCAAGTATGAGTCCTAGCAACGAAGTAGAGAGGATGGAAATGTCTCGAGTACCGTACGCATCAGCAGTGGTGGGTACGTCAAATGCTACAGTGTGTTATAGAGGATCAGATTTTGTTGTCAGAGGCGATGTTGACTCAGATTATGCAGGTGATCTTGACAAAAGCAAGTCCACCTTAGGTTATGTGTTTACTCTTGCCGGAGGAGCTGTAAGCTGGGTTTCAAAACTGCAGTCTATTGTGGCTACTTCTACGACGGAGGCAGAATATGTCGCAGCTACACAAGCTAGCAAAGAGGCAATATGGTTGCAAATGCTATTGGAGGAGCTCGGACACAAACAAGAGAAGATTGCTCTATTTTGTGATAGTCAGAGCGCTTTGCATCTTGCAAATAATCCAGCATTTCATTCGAAAACAAAGTACATACGAGTTCAATATCACTTCGTTCGTGAAAAGGTGGAAAAAGGAAGTGTGGATATACAAAAAATCCGTACAAAAGGTAACTTAGCAGATATAATAATAACAAGTTTATCTGGTGTCGATCCTCTTTAGACCTAGCGGATATGTAAGC